AGGCCCCAGACCTGAGAACCTGGATGAAGGACTAGTGTAAAATAAGGATCATTTTTGAACTGCCAATCATGCTGATAAATTCAAAAAATAATATGAAGCTTCAGATGAGCTGAACAGATCTCCTTGAAAGCTTTAAAATATGCACATTTCTATACTGCGCGGGTAGTTAGAAGACCGAGCACCTCCTCGGGGTTGTGAGTTCGCCCTTGCTGACCAGAGAAACGTTGCTTAATGAATTATCCAATAGGACACCAGATTTCTGATGAATAAACCAATAAGGGCTCTCCAGGTGAGTGATGAATAAACCAGAAGTGTGGGCGATAACTTACGTGTTGCAGGCCGTCATGGCTTGACAGATCTCCCCAGTGCAGAACTCTGAGATAGTGCTGTACTGAAGGTTGATAAGATTGAAGAATGTTGTTGCTGTGGGAAACAGACGAGAGAGCACAAGACTGTTGGTCGTCCACAACACAGGGATTATAGCAACACTAACGCACAGGCAAATACTGGTATGCCAGTGGGTGAATGACCGCAAGAAGATATGTTATTGTCACATTCTTCTTTGGCTCGTGAGGACACACCTAAAAGTGTATACGCAATGCTTAGTGGGAAGTCAGAGTCACATGCGCACACACTAATTCCAATTACCACATCCTTCAAAAGATGTTTTTGTTTCACACAAAGAATGGGAGGAGGCTTTGACAAGCATTCACCTAAAACAGACAGGTATTTTTGCTGCAAGGTAAAACTCCTGCACAGCCTTATATGCTTGCACAACAGTGGAACAAAGCAAAGGTGGGGTCTATAGGGGCTCGAGAAAACTATTCAACTGTCAACATGCTTGCAAGGCATGTTAGCTGTAGGAAAACCCGTCCATCTTACTTGTTATCTTACTTGAGTGTGAGACTCCTTAAGTAATATGTCTTCTGTGACTGTGTTTTTTTAAAGCTTTGAACTACTAGACGGACTCCCAATGTAATCATCTCCAACAACAGGAGACATAAATACGCTAAATAAGGAAAAATGTTAACCGATATTTACAAAGAAAAAAAGTATCTGTAACCGGAAGGTCGCCGGTTCGATCCCCGG